ATATATATATATATTATATAGGTCTTACATATACATTGATACATGTATCCCTACACAGTTCATGTTTTTCGATGTTGTTGTAAGGCATTGGTTTTAAAATTCGGTTTTCACTTGTTCATTGTGAGTATAGAAATCCAGTTTATTTTTAGTTTTTAGAGACAGGGTCTTGCTCTGTCGCCCAGGCTGGAGTGGAGTGGTGCTACCATGACTCCCTGCAGCCTCATCCTCCTAGGCTCAAGGAATTCTCCCACCTCACCCTCCTAGTAGCTGGGACTACAAGTGCACACCAACACACCGAGCCACCAGCTAATTTAAAACAAATGTTTTGTAAAGTTGGGTTTCTTTATGTTGTCCAAGTGAAGTCTTGAACTCCTGGCCTCAGGCTATCTTCCTGCCTCAACTTCCCCAAAGTCTTGAGATTACAGGTGTGAGCCACTGAGCCTGGCCCAGTTGATTTTTATATAATAACCTTGCTAAAACTTATCTACTAGTTGTAATAGACCTTTTGTAGATTATTTGAAATTATCTGCATATGAAGTCCTGTTGTCTGAAAAGAGCAATAGTTTTACTTTTTCATTTCCAATCTGAATATCTGTTAATTTTGTTGTCTTTGCTTCTTTGTACCAGCAAGAACTTCAGTACAATACTGAATAGAAAGGGTAAGAGTGGACATCTTTGTTTGTTCCCGATCTTTGGAGTGTCTTTTATCATTTAAAAATGAAGTTAGTTGACATTTTTCATAATTGTTGTCAGAATGAAGTTTCCTTGTGAATCCTAGTTTACTGAGAGTTTTTTGTTTTTCTCATTAATGCATGTTGGATTTTGTCAAGTGCTTTTTCTATATCTGAGATGATGATATGATTCATATTTTATTTTATTAATTTGATGATTTATACAGATTGATTTTTAGAAGTTAAACTAAACCTACATTCCTAGGATGAACCTTACTTAGTCATGAGGTATTATCTTTTTAAGGATTTTTTGTTTGTGTTTATGAGGAATGTTTGTTGTAGTCTCCTTTAATTGTAATGTCTTTGTCTGTTTTTGGTAACAGGGTAATGCTGTGAATTGGGAATTCTTCTAATCCTGACTTTGTGTAGAACTTGTATTTTTCTTTAACCATTTAATAGAATTTAGTAGTGATGCTGTCTGAATTATATTTTGGGAAGTTTTTAAATAATAAATTTAATTTCTTTAATTGATGCAGAGCTATCACATTTTCTTCTTGAGGCAGTTTTAGTTATTAGGAACTTTCAAGATATTTGTCCACTTCATGTAAGTTGTTTAATTTATTGGGTTGGTTTGTGATATTCTTTTATCATTCTTTTAATATTTGTAGGATCTGTTCTGATGCCCCCTGTTTCTTCTGTTATTGGTAATTTGTGTTTCTTTCTTTTAGCCTTCTAAGAGGATTAGTGATTTTGTTGAACTTTCCAATCCAGCTTTTGTTTTCACTGGTTTTCATTACTGATTGTCCATTGGTCATTGCTGGTCATTGATTTTCTCATTTGTCATTATTTTGTCCGTTTATTTTGGGTGGTATTTATATGAAGGCAGATAACAGATAAGTTGGTCAAAATACAGAGTGTGAAATAGACTTACACATAGATGATCAATTGATTTTTGAGAACGGTGCAAAAGCAACTCAAGGGAAAGGACAGTTTTGGCAAAAAACTATATGAGAGTAACTAGATCTCAATAATGAGAAAAATGAATCTAACTCCTTATTCCACACCAAAAGCAAAAAAAATAAATTACCTCAAAATGAAAATAGGTTTAAATGTAGGAACCATAACTATAAAATTTCTAGAAGAAAAAATAGGAGAAAATCTTTGTAATCTTGTGAGCAGAGATTTCCTAGATTGGACCTTCAAAAGTGTAAAAAATAAGAGGAAAAAACCTGATAAATTGGACTTCATAAAAATACAAAATTTCTTTTAAACATGCTCTTAAGAAGACAAAAAATGCAAGCTATAGTCTTGAAGGGAAAAGATAGTGGCAAAAAATGTCTGAAAATAACTTATATCCAGAATATACAAGGAACTATTATAACTGTTTTTTTTGAGACAGAGTCTTGCTCTGTCGCCACACACCAAGCTGGAGTGCAGTGGTGGGATCTCGGCTCACTACAACCTCCGCCTCCTGGTGTCAAGCAATTCTCCTGCCTCAGCCTCCCGAGTAGCTGGGACTACAGGTGCGTGCCACCACGTCCGGCTAATTTTTTTGTATTTTTAGTAGAGATAGGGTTTCACCATTTTGGCCAGGATGGTCTTGATCTCTTGACCTTGTGATCCTCCTGCCTTGGCCGCCCAAAGTGCTGGGATTACAGGCTGAGCCACCACTCCCGGCCCTCTCTTACAACTTTTGAATAAGACAACCCACTTTTTTAAATGGGCAAACACATGAAATAAAGCTCAACACTTGTCACCAGTGAAATGCAAATTAAGTCAGTTAATCCATACTTTCAAGTTTGCTTTTCTCAAAGGATTTAGTACTGCTTATACTTCATAGCCACTAGCATGGCTAAAATTTAAAAGGCCATACTAAAGGTTGGACAGGTTTGGAAGTAACTGGAACTCCCATACATTGCTGGTGGAAATATGAAATGGCACAACCCCTTTGGAAAATGGTATAAAAGTTTTTTTATATAGCGAAAGTTATACCTACAATATTATGTAGCAATCCCCCTTCTAGATATTAACCCAACATAAATGAAAACATATGTCAACATAGTCTAGTACAAGAAGAGTGTTCATAACAGCTTTATTCACAATAGCCCCAAACTGGAATCTACCCAAATGTCTGTCAGCAGATGAATAAACACATTGTAATGTACTACTCAACATTAAAAAGTAATGAGCTATTATTGCACACAGCAACATGGATGAATTCTGAAAACACAGTAAGTGGAAGAATTTGGGCATGAATCTATACTGTATGATTCCATTCATGTGCACCTGTCTGATCTTTAGTGATGAAGGCAGATAAGTGACTGCCTGAGGCTGCTGGTACTGTGGCGGTTGGGGGAGAGTAATAAGGAAGGGACATAGGAAACCTTTTGGAGCATTAGAAATGCTTCTTGATTGTGGTGGTAGTTATGCAGGTGTGTGTGTGCGTGTGTTGTAAAAACTTATCAAACTATACCGTTAAGACTACCAGAATCTAATGAAGTGAAATTTTTGTTATAAAAGTCATAACTAGTTTTTTTCATATTCTCATCCCCACTTTCATTAGTGGATGTAGATGGACTTGAAGGCCATTACTTATGTTGGAAAAGTTTGCTATTTTTAATATCATGTACTTACATTTTATAACAAAAAGTACAAGAAAGAAAAAACTTCATAATTATATCATATTTTGAGCATGTGAAATGGGAAGTTGAAGTCTCTTCTCTAGTGTGCCAGTCTCATAGCCTTAATGACTACCAATTTTGATGTCTATTCTTTTAGATATTTCCCTGATGCTTACAGAAAAAGGACATATATCTAATATTATATCTTTTCAAATATTCATTAATTTATTGCAGTAGTATGAGTTGAGTGCCTCCTCTGGGCCAGTCATTATACTGCATCCTGATAATAATGAGCCAAAGAAACATCCACTCTACTGCAACTTGCAGACTGAAGGAAGTATATATATTGATTAAATAAGAACACAAACATAGTATCTTTAAATCATAACAAGTATTATTAAAAACAAGTGTATTAGTCTGTTTTCATGCTGCTGATAAAGACATACCCTAGACTGGGCAATTTACAAAAGAAAGAGGTTCAATGGACTTACAGTTCCACATGGCTGGGGAGGCCTCACAGTCATCATGGAAGTCAAGGAGGAGCAAGTCGCATCTTAACGTGGATGGCGGCAGGGAAAGAGAGAGCTGGTGCAGGTAAACTCCTCCTTATAAAACCATGAGGTCTCATGAGGCTTATTCACTATCATGAGAACAGCATGATAAAGACCTGCCGCCATGATTCAGTTACCTCCTACTGGGTCCCTCTCACAGCAAATGGGAATTCAAGATGAGATTTGGGTGTGAACACAGCCAAACCACATCAGCAAGTATAGAATGTTTGAGAGTACATAGTAACAATCAAAACGTTTTCAGACCCTTCATCCTAGTTCAGATCCATACTTTGAATCAAAGTTTGCTTTTCTGAAAGCATTGAATTCTGCCTAGATAGTATGATTGTTCATTTGGATAAAACATCTTGCTCATAAACATCCTTTTATTAAAGTATTTTTTTCTCATTTGTAGTCAGCATTTTTGTATTATTTTGAAACATCAAGAAATCTTAAGTATTTAACTTCAGTGACAAAAATTGAAATATCATTCAATCAGCAAATATTTATAGGTATCTCCCTGAGTCTTAGTCTGTGATCTTTATTCACTTATGTACTAAACAACATTTTGTATAGCAACAACTTGAAAATGACAGTTCGTTCAAGCAGCATTTTTGTTGATAGTGAAGGGGTTATTAATGTTGGTATATGCCAAACACAAGTTTTTCTTAAAATATATTACACACGATACTCCATAATTGTGTTTAAGTTAATGGAGAGTGTTATGGAAGTTTTGTGCTCGTATAACTTTAGGAAATGCAGGGTTGAAAGAGTTAAACCTTTTAAACTCTAGACTTCTCAGAAGTTTTAATACGTTACCTTCTGAATCTTTAAGACCAAGCTACAGTATACGGTGATGCTGATTGACCAATGGAACTCTTTTCCCCTTGGCCTGTACTTCCATGAATAGGTATCTAAGCAGATAAATAAATCTCTTATAGCATCTAAAAATAATAAAGGAATATTTTAAAAATGTACAATAATCTTAATATAAAAACATCATTTATATAGATATAATTTTATCACTTACAGGTACTAGATCTGTATTTTGTATTTATATGTTGAACTTTTGGAAATTAATATATACCTAATGAAAGAATAAACTCTTCATTCTTAACTGTTAAGAGAAAAGTGAAATTTATATTTCTTTTATATTTCAGAACAAAGTAGAAGAGATGATTTAGAAGCTTTAGGTCATATGTTCATGTATTTTCTGAGAGGCAGTCTTCCTTGGCAAGGCTTAAAGGTAATTGCTTTTGTGTTTTTTTATTGAATTTCATAAAACATTAAGATACTGAGGTCCTCTCTTTCAACTAAACAATTTACATATTTTAAAATTTTATTTTGTAAGTAGGGATCAGGGCTCTGCTGGTCTCGAACTCCTGGGTTCAAGCACTCCTCCTGCCTCAGCCTTCCAAAGCTCTCACGTCACAGGCACAAGCTACTGTGTGCAGCCCAGCTAAATAATTTTTAAATTAACACATTCTCAAGGTTTTTTTTTCTTTTTTAGGCTGATACATTAAAGGAGAGGTATCAGAAAATTGGAGATACAAAACGAGCTACACCAATAGAAGTGTTATGTGAAAATTTTCCAGGTAATGAGTAATGTGAAGTTGATATATTATATACAGAAAATTAGAAATGCTGATTTTTATTGCTTAAGTTTATAAATTATTTTTCTATACTTTAAAAAAAGAGCTAAAAATATGATATAAAGAATTTCAGCATTTGATGCCTAATCCACAGGGGCACTTTGTATATTTGCTTTGTAAATGGTATTAATAAAGGAAAATCCTATCTGTTAAAAGTGTTGATCAGTACTAGCTGAATAAATATTTTCTTTAATGGTATACTTTCAATAAATTAAATTATTTGCTAAGGAATGCCAGGTACAAAGTTTTAGTATATGGTGTCATTTGGATATCAATGTCAAGGTCAGAGGAGGTATATGAAGTACGAGTTGGTTTAGTTTACAAACTAAACTTACTTAAATTAAGTAGGGTCAGTAAAACCTTACTGACCTCACTGGTTTTAGGCTAATTTTATTTGGGGGAGCTGTATGCATTTATGAAAACAATTTTACTTTCAAGTAGATTTGTGTCAACTCAAATTAAGCCAACAAAAATTTACTTAAGATTTCTAAATTAAGAAATAATAATAACTTGTTAGTATATTAAAATAATGATGTGATTTATTTTTGCAGTGACATTAAGTGAAAAGAGAACTAAATTTGAAGATATAATACGGAATTCCTATCTCACTTTAGTATTCCCTAGTTTTCCTGTACAATGCTGGCATTATTAATGTAATAATAATATTATCAACAAAATCTAAAGTAGCTCTTTCTCAAGCTTGTTTATCTTATTCATTGACAGCAACTTTAATTATGTGTTTTCCTTTCTTGCTGTAATATCTAGAAGTAGATTTTTTTTTTAATGTTGTACTAGCAGTTTAGGTGTACGCAGATGGGATAGGTGTCGTTAAGGGAGCCTGTATAAAGGTGGGAAAAATGGGGTTGCCAAATAATTAGCCAGATATTTAGCTAGAAAGTGGAATAGTGGGAGAGTCACCACGTAAAGAAGGTTACTGTGTACCACTTTTGTTGCCTATTTTGCTGGGTGTTATCCTTTTCCTTCTGGCTGGAGCTAGGTGAATGCTAGGTGTAAGTTACCATCTCTTACTGCAATAATTTTCCATGTCCTGATGGTAAAATGCCCTGCTTTACTGATTACTCACCATTTTACCCATTGTTTTATGTATTTTTTTGTTTCTTCTTTTCCTTCTGGGAAGTATGACCCTTAAAAATAGATATAACTAGTACATTTGGGAATTATGATAACATGCAGAGATTTGTATATTGCCAAATAATTGTTAAATATATGACTAGAAATCAAGAGAAGACTTACACTGTGCCCTTGTGTTATGTTTTTGACATTAGTTTTAGCTTTCATTTGGTAGCGTAATTGGTTAGAATACTGCTCAAAGACAAGGTTAGGAATTTGAATTTGCTGTTGGTATGTGTCACTGATTCTAAAGGAAATCCAGTGAGCCAATATAAATCAGGTCTCATTAGTATTTTAAATAAAATTTTAAATTTATAAACTGATTATGATGCTTTGTGATTAATCATGCATTATTAAGTTGCTTATTCAACTTGTCACACTACCAAACATTAAAAATAATCTTATAAAATAAAAATTTTAGCTTTTCCTAATGTAATGAAGTAAAAATAGTGGTTGTTAAACTGAACCTCTCAATTTTTTGTGTCTCTATTCCCCTTCCTTCTTTTCCTCTTTTTAATTTTGTTGTAATTAAACTCAGAAAAATTTAAATGGCAGTAGAATTTTGTTAGTTTTTCAGTGTTGTTTTTATATATAATACAATGTGCTTTTAGATACCTAATTTTATTATTGAGTATTAAAGAAAAGTATAGTTTGAATAATTTTTATATTATTTCTAGAAGAAATGGCAACATATCTTCGTTATGTAAGAAGGCTAGATTTTTTTGAAAAACCAGACTATGACTACTTAAGAAAGCTTTTTACTGACTTGTTTGATCGAAAAGGATATATGTTTGATTATGAATATGACTGGATTGGTAAACAGTTGGTGAGTACTGTATTCTACATAATAAAATATTATTTATAGTATCTGTTGTCTTCTTAATAGTATAGTTTCTTCATTTGAAAAGAGTTGAGAACAAATAGTTGTTTTAAATGATTTGTTTTATTGTTTTTAAAGAACATTTCTGCAGGTAGCGCTGTACTAGTATTCTTTGAGTTTTTCAAAAGCCCTACATCTGGATTCTTTGCCTTTTAGCATGAAGAGTTACACTTTAACTTTTCATCCTGATTTAGTTCTTAATGTCAAATGTGTAATATTCTCATGATTAATACTTTAATACCTTGATGAAAATTAAAATTATAAGCCTCTCCAAGTCAAAATATTGGAAATAAGCAATTTTATTATTTTATTTTTCTATTCTTTTAATTTTCTTAAAAGTTTATTCTATTTATACGTTTGCTTTGGAAATGAGAGACATCAACAAATACATTTTTATCATTTTGATATGAAAATGTAGCCTAAAAGTAATGACAGCATTAGAAGGTCTTTTGTAGTGTAAAAATAAATACGTTATAAAGAATTTAAATACTTTAAAAACACTTTAAAAAGTAGCTGTATTCTCTTTGCTTTACCTTCTTAGCTTTAACGACATTTTGAGAATGATGTCTTTACCTAAAACTTTAGTTTGTTTAACAGTCTTTTATTTTTTCCTTAATTCTTTAAGCAGCTAAGTAAATGACTTTAAATAAGATTTTTGAAATGGAATGTATCAATACCAATTGTTATTGTATTGTAGCCTACTCCAGTGGGTGCAGTTCAGCAAGATCCTGCTCTGTCATCAAACAGAGAAGCACATCAACACAGAGATAAGATGCAACAATCCAAAAACCAGGTTTGCTGCCTTTTAGATATGAAAGATATTTCTTTGTTTCATGATTGAACCATATACTGTTTTCTTCAATAGATAAAAAAGATTGAAGGATTAAAAATACATGTTTTTAATAGATGAACTTTTCTCTTAATTTTCACTGTTTATTAGTTTAATAATAGCATTAAAATGTTTAAATCATTTTAATGATTAAACATTTTAATGCTATTATTAAACATTTTAAAAATCTTTAATAAAAATGGTACAAATTAGTGTAAACTTTGAGCAGTATTTGATATTCTATTAGAATATTTTCATTCCAATGGGGTACTCTATTGGAATGAGTTGTAATAGCACTTGATCTTTCTAACTGTCGTTTAGTTCAATAAATTATTTATTGAATTTCTGCTATTGTAAAGCTACTATTCTACACATTGTATAAATGCAGAAGCAAAGAAGACTGTATAACCTGTAAGAATGATTTTGTCACCAGTGACTAAAAGCAGTGTGGTAGCTAAGAGCTCAGTCAATCTCTAGAATCAGGCAAATATGGATATGGCTTAACCCTGGGCAAATGAGTTAATGTCTCAAAGCCTCAGTTTCCTTATCTATAAAATGGAAATAATGCATGTTAATTTCTAGCATACAGTAAGCTTTCATTTGCTCAAAACTCTTGTGTCTGGAGTTTAAAGTGCCATGGAGGAGATCATATGTGGGACTCTGAAGATTTTATGGAAAAGGTAGCTTTTGACATGAGCCTAAAGAATGAATGGAATTTTTAAAGGGAAATGAAGAAATAAGGGCATTTTTGGGAGGTTGAATAGTATAAAATATGAAGCAGAAGTTTAAAAATAGAGAATTTGAGGAATAGGCAACAGTTCAGTTTGTTTGGAGCAAAGAGTAGGTAGAGCTGGATTAGACAAGGAGTAGAGAGTCAGTCTGAGATAATGCATAGAAGTTGATCAAGTGGAGAGTTCATGTTTCCTGACTGAGTAAAGGAATTGAAAGCTGTTGAAATTTTTGACCAATATTTTAATTTCTCTCTCTCTCTCTCTTTTTGACTTAAAAATTTTGCTATCACACTGAGTTAAAGAGTGTCTAGAAATTTTCTGTTACAGTCCTTTTTGGAGAAGGACAGTGTCCTGTCCTGTTTTACATTTACATTGTTTATCCCATCAAAGTTCAAGTGAAGATTAAAACAGGATGAAAATCAAAAGAAAGAACACAAGTGGTGACTTGTTAAAAACCGTAAGCACGATAAAATGCTATTTTTAGGGAGTGTTTAACAATATTATTCTATAAAGCATGGCCAACTTTATAAGATTCATATTAAATTTTTGACTTAGAAAAATTGGCACCATAAAGGATCTCATACACAAATTACTTCATATCTGTATTAAAATTAGTTGATAGCTTGAGTGCCCTGATAAGATTCTGTATAAAGAAAGAAATAGCTCAGAAGTTGAGACTTAGTTTGTGTTTTATAAACCGGAGTTAATTCCTTGAATATACTTGGAAGAAGATTAGTATGATATTCTTTAAAATTCTCTACTTGAGCTGTTAGGTATTATAATAAGTGAAATTCCTCTATTGTTGAATTCAATTATAAATCTAATGTTGTAGACTTTTAATTTTCTATGTGTTTCAGACATGCTAACTAGATTGTAAGACATGCTGACTAGATTTCAGAGCTTGCTAACTAGATTGTAAGCTCACTGAGGGTGGGAACTATGTTTCATTCGTCCAGTCCTTGTTGCACTAAATGTAGGGAATATATATACATGCATATATATATATATAATTTTTTTAGGCAATTCTTTAGAATAGGCTTATATATTGAATTTGAGATGTGAATATACAGATTTTCATCCTGATAGAAAAATTGTATATCTAAAAAAAATTCTTCTTAAATATCTCTAGACTACTAAGCAGTATAAGTTCTATGAGAAACCTACAGTTCACAATCCCAAGGAAGAAAGATTATTTCAAATGACTTAAACCTTTGTAATGTGCCTAAATAAATGGTAGGAAAAATCGTTGAGAGGATTCTGAAACTGTTGCGTACATGCAATTGTTTATTTTCAGGAGAGGGTGTGTAGCTCTTAACTATATTCTTAGAGAGTTCCATGATCCCAAAATACTGCTCATTGCCCTAGATATTTGTCTCAATTTTAGCATCATTTTCATTCTTTCATTTTGTCTGGACTTGACTTCATCTAATTGATTTCAGCTTAAGCTTCAAAGCTGCTTAATTCTGGTTATGAATTTGGAGGGTTTAATGAAAAGGCATTATAGAACTATCATAATTGTTTTGATGACATACTTCATGCCACAGAGCATGTAATTTTGCATTGTACAATTTAATTTAGGAAGCTTAGTGCCAGAACATTTATTCACATATCTACTTGAATTTTATATCTCTCCCCTGAAAGTTGCTCTGGCCACCAATATGCTTGAGGGTCCCTATACTCCAATGTGCTTGGCACTTTGTGGCAAGATTTTCATGACTTTGTTTGAAAAAGAAAGAAAAGAGTACTGAAGGCTTTAGAATATATTTAACCGTGGTAAGGAGCTAGGTAGTATTATTATTGGAAGAGCATTAGGTTCTGAATTGGAGTTCCTAGTATACTTCTTGCTGGCTCTGTGACTATATGGAAGTGCTTAATGTCTCACTGTCTTCATCAGTAAAAGGGGGTGATAATATCTACCTCAAAATGCAATAACATATAAAGCAGCTAATGCAGAACCAAACATGTAATAAAGCTTAAATAATATATTCTTCTTTCTACTTTTTATTAGTGTTGTCTACATTTTTCTGAAACAGAAATTGACCCCTATTAAGAAATTACTCTTAATTGTACTGATAGATTATAATGTTTGTTGTTACCATGCAGATTTGCCAAGGGATCTAAAAACATCAAGGATTTTCAGCTTATTTCATAAAAATGGGTTTCTTAACTTGCATCAGATAAAAAGAGATCAAGGAAGCAAAGAGATTCATATGTGTAGGATTATCACTTAGAAAAAAATTGTTTTGTCTTATTCTCATAGTATTCTGTATAGTGCTTCTCCCTTTTCATATAACTTTTCTATTTTCTCATATTATCTTCACAGTCAGAAATAGGGGACTAAGCAAGAGAGAAAATATTTCTAGAATCTCAAGTACAGTTATTTAAAGGCTGTCATTTGTACCTTCTAAAAGTAACTCCTCATCAGAAAACCAGTGATGACCTCTACTGTATGAAAATGTAGTGGGTGGCCTTTTAGTGTGCCCATGATTTATTTGGAGTTCTTTCTTGATCATGGCATTTTTACCTTTCTGGTTCTTTGTTAGTTGATTTATAAAGATAGAGTCTGTGAATTCTCAAGGATTTTTACTTCTAAAATTTTATGGTTCTATTATATTTTTATTGTTGATCATTACACAATTTGGCAACTTAACTAAAATCACTCCACTTTCTTTATACAAAGATAACTGCACCATGATTCAGAACAGCAAGGGTATTTTAAATTTCCTTTTATACGTTTGTTTTATATATTATGAGGATAAGATGTTTAACATATTGGGTTTTTCTTCTTCCATGCATGCCATATGCATTAAATAAATGGCAGTCGGCAGACCACAGGGCAACTTGGGACTCCCAGCAGGCAAATCCCCACCATTTGAGAGCTCACCTTGCAGCAGACAGACATGGTGGCTCGGTACAGGTATTTTCTGATTTTTGCATGAGTGATTATTACCCAGATTTATACAACTAACCCTTTTTTTTTTTTTTTGGAACTCATGGCATGGTTTCATATCTTAATGGAAAATTTGTTGCTGAACTACTCTCTCCATAATTCTATTCCTTTGTTATTTACCAAAAAAAAAAACAAAAAAAAACAAAAAAAAACCAAAATTAATATGGTCCAGAAAGACCAGGAATACCAAGATTTTTCCTTTGTTCATTTTTGCAAGTATATGCAACAATATTTAAGTCATAGAGCAGATTAGAAAAACAAATGGTAATATACTTGAAATAGGTATTAAACTTGATTCCCAATAATCTCAATCTTTTTTAATGCTTTAACTAATAGAACATTTTTGTATTTTTTTCCATTCATTGACTTTGCCTCCTTCAAACTTAATCAGTTAAATATCGTTTTTCATCCTTAATACTCAGAATGAACTTTCTGATTAATTGTTCAAATAAACATGACCCTAATTTTTATCATAGTATATTTTGTTTGTACTTAATAGAAAATATCAGATGGAGGAAATTTTAAGGACAAGTGTTTATTAAATACTCCCCTCAATTAATTGTGTGACTTTTTACATAAATTTTAAGCAGTTCCTTATTTATAATTTGTTTCTGTTCCCCTTTTATATACTCATAGAGACAGCTACTGTATATACTCTGCCATCTACCTGTAAATTTTAATGATTTATGTATATTGTAGAAACAGGGAAAAATTGCTTGAGGCTTGTATTGTGTTTTAAAATGGTGGTTTCAGATAATCTAAAAGCCGGCTTAAAGTAGGTGAGATAACAAATGTTACCGCACTACATTTCAGTGTAGAATTTTTTTTACATTTTCGTTTTGTTCTTTACATATTTTCACTTGAATTATTTGCCATTTTATCAAATTTGCATTTTTCTTAGTGTTTTAATCAACTGATTCTGTACTCTGGATTCTGTTTTTTCTTGATTTGAATTTTAAAAATTAAATCATAATTAATTTTTTTTAATCATGATTTTTCTCACCATTAAATTTTAGAGGTAATTTAAATTATATAATCAATTACTTTTGTAGAATTTTGTAGTTTATAGAATTTTCAGTAATGTGTGGTAGACTTATTTGAGTAGATCTGTAAGAGCCTAGGGTGAAGGACTTAGAGGCAAGGGTACCTAAATTGTAAAAATTTTTGTGACCTAATCCATACAGTTAGAAAAGCTGAATGAGCAAATTATATTTTATTTGCATAACACAAACTATATTTTGTATGTATCTGTATATATTTACATGTTTTTAAGTGTGTGTGTATGTGTTATACCAGGTGTTTTCCTCAGTGCAACAATTAAGGCACTATTATAAAATTTTCCTACCATTTCTGTACCATTACCAGATTTATTTTCTTAGCCCTTCTTACTCTTACATGATTCCCCAACATTGCCTCATGGGATTTCTGTGGACTGTCAAAGGGTTAATGAATTTCATTATTCACTCATTATTTCATTACTTCATATTTATTGTTTTGCTCACATGTTTTCACAGAGATATCTAAACTTTTGCTCATGTCTCATTTCTCTCTAAGACTTTTCAGCCCACTGAGACTATATCTGACTTCATCCTAATATTCAATAAGTGATCAATAGGTTTTGAGTAATATGTCATATAAATACATATGTAAAACAAAAAGTAGTATTTCCATTGGCCTCATGTATTTTACAATATTAACTGACACATGATATGATGGACATTAACAGCCTAAGTAGGATCATGCCTGAATCCTTCCCACTCTAAAATAAAGAATGAATTCATTTATAATTTATGTCGTAAACACTGTCAAAGTTATTGAAAATTTATAATGTAACACTTGTATAATTGGACTAATGAAATTATAAATTAAAACATAATAAGAGCAAAGAAAAGCACCTAAAATTTGAACTGATAATTGTTATAATTGAGTACTATTTGATTCTGAATGAAGGCAGATAGGGAAACAATGTGTTCTATTAATATTATTCTCATTGTCTGATAAAGGGAGGAAATAAAGAGAAAAAAACTTTTTATAATATAAAAGTATGAGATGAATTTGCCTTGGGCTTATTTGCGCAATGGTTGTTAAATCAACTGTTGAACAAACTTTCAAGCATTGGCTTTGCAGGAGATGCAAAGACTTTATATGGCAATTAAAAAATTATTCTAAATAAACATACTAAGAGTTTATCATTACATAGTTTTTTAGGAAAGACATTTTCATAATTAATAGGTAGCTGTCTAGTATTAAAGTGTGATACAGATTTAGGATATCCAGAAACGGAATCAACAGTGAGTTAAATGAGCCTTGACGAAACCATGGCTTTCACTCCTCATCTGTCAGTGCAGTCTTTTCCATGAAACTGATCATTGCTCTCAGTGCAGCACTGAAAATCATTTCAAGCTGTTTGGAATTGACATGTAAGATGAAACCTTTTCCCATTTTGACCTATAGAAAGATCCTCAGATACTTGTTATTTCAGATGTGCTTTAAGTAGAAATGATTAGCAGAGTCTAAATTTGAACTCCCTGCTTTTCCGAATTATTATATAGCAGACTAGACATAGTGTTACCAGGTTGATGATGTTGCAAGTTAGCCCAAGCTCTGCAATCAGATTTGAGTGCACATTTTGTGCCGAGATTATTTATTAGTAAATGTGGATATTAAGAAAACCTCTACCTTATGGTTTTGTTAAAATTAAAAAAAGTGTTTAGCATAGAGATTAAGGCTTAATAAGTGTTAGGTAAGTATAATCTATTGTTTTTGCGAATTAAGAAACTTGAGTAGTGTTTTTATTGATCTATGGGAAGTGAATTATTAAAGGTACAGTCAAAAGAAAGCATTGGGGGCCGGGCGCGGTGGCTCAAGCCTGTAACCCCAGCACTTTGGGAGGCCGAGGTGGGTGGATCACGAGGTCAAGAGATCGAGACCATTCTGGTCAACACGGTGAAACCCTGTCTCTTCTAAAAATACAAAAAATTAGCTGGGCATGGTGGTGCGTGCCTGTAATTCCAGCTACTCAGGAGGCTGAGGCAGGAGAATTGCCTGAACCCAGGAGGCGGTGGTTGCGGTGAGCCGAGATGGCGCCATTGCATTCCAGCCTGGGTGAAAAGAGCGAAACTCCGTCTCAAAAAAAAAAAAAAAAAAGAAAGTATTGATAAATGGGATTTTTCTAATTTTTTTCTTTAGTTAAACATATTAAATCACTGCCTAAAAAGATACAGCTATACATTCGATAAACTTTTTCCTTTCAAGAGACTAAGAATAATATTCAAATATCTCAAAACTTTATTTTGTATTGTTTTTAGCCTGTGTTCTGGAGAACTCCTAGGGGAATCAAGTGTGTCCCTCTCAGTTCCCTCTTAGAATCATTGGTGATAATAAATATGGCCGAAAAACTCAGACCTACCATATTCAGTTTCTTGGCCATTCATTATTTAGCAAATATCTAAGTGTTGTGTGCTAGGCTCTTGTAGGTTTTTTCGAGTGAAAAGAAGCATATAAAGACATGGTGCCTGTGTCCATGAAGAAGTCAGTGGAGAAGGCTGATGAGCAGTCAGGGTGATAAGTAGAGATAGCACAGAGTACTAGAAGAATTGATAGAAAAAGCACATAACCTGGATGAGTCAGAGTTTTCTGGGAAAAGTGACATCTAAACTGAGACCTAAAGAACCAGTGGGAGCTAATCAACTGAAGAAGATAGAAGGGGTCAAGATAGAAGTATATCAGGCAGAAAAGATAGAATATAAGGTTATGGGGTGAGAGACATATTAAGGAAGCTGATTTAGTCAAGCTGGTATGTGTTGAGAAATGAAACTGAGAAAGTAGGCAGAAGGTAAATCACAAAGGATCTAACGGGTCTTGTTATTAAACTTGGCTTTATTCTGAGGATACTGGGTAACTACAGGGGAATTAGGAGAACAACTTTGATTAGTATTTTCTAAAGATTGCTTTTGCTGGAGACTAGGTTGAAAGGAGACAAGTATAAATGAGGAATACAGCTCTCAAAAGTCTGTAGTTGGGGAAAAACGTTGGGTAGTAGGGATACAAGAAATAAAAGGCCTTGAAAAGAATTAGAAGGTGGAATTTAGTTGGGTGTGGGGCTGAGGGAAAAGGAAAAGTTTAGTTTTTACATCTTTTTGATATGTTTCTACCTGGCAAATCAAGATCTCCAAAAGTAGATTTTAAAATATACCATGGACAACAGATAGTAGTGATCTCTAATTCCATTTTAGCTGTGCTTTTCACTGTAGCACAAATCCATTGAGCTCAGTGCCAGCTGAAAATTTGATCCCATATAGAGGCAACTGTAAGCAAAAGGAAGAAGACAAATATTAAGGACACTACTGAAAAACAATTTTACATGTAAAATGTATTTATACATGTACTATGTATACCCCCGATTGTTTGGAAATCTTTTATAGTTGTGCAGTATTTGGTTTGAATTTGAGGAATAATGTGACTCTGAGCATTTGGAAGAAAAACGGGCAGAATTGCAAATGGTGCAGATATGTTGTACAACCAGGCATTGTTGAGGAAAACGAAAGAATAACATTCATTGTTGTAATAAGCAACCTGATCTTTTAGCTGATGAAGCATCCGAACAAATAAATACAGGTGGTGATAACAGAAAAGGATTAGACAAATATATCTGGAGATGATAATAAAACATATGTGTTAAAGTCAAGAGTAATAGTAGATACCATTACTTCAGTTACATTAATTGTGAATACTGACCGTTCTAAAATATTACTAATTTCAGTCTATCAAATATTTGAAAATGCAGTTATTAACAAGGAACAAAATGTAGTGACTATTACAATCACATCTTTCTATTCATACTTTTCTGGGGTACTGAAATCCGCAAAAGAGAGATCGTGGGAATATAGTTATATGCCTTTATTACTTAATTTTTAGTTCATTTTCTTTAATCTAGTTTTGGAAGTTTCTATTATCATTGGGGTACATTAGTATTATGAATTTACTTTTTTTTTTACAATAACATTTACATTAACATCTCCAAAGACTGGGATGATCAAGGAAAATAATGATCCTAAGTGAAAGTTAATTGAAAATCCATTTTGGGTTATCTTTGTGGACAAAGCTGGTGAGCTGGTATTCCAAAAGATGACCCTAAAGCATGTCACTGTCTGTGCTCTAGGGTCATCTTTTGGAATACCAAGAATATCAAAATATCAATTATACCTTTAGTCTTTAGGATATGTAAAGAAGTTGGTTTTATATGTATATATAAAACCATATATATATATTTGTATATATATATATAAATATAACTATTAATATTTAATAGTTACAAGACTGACTTCCAAATAATTTCCTGAACCTGTGCCATATATATATACATATATATATATGATTTGGAAGTCACTCTTTTAACTATTAATATATCTCAGTGTGCTTTCTTATAGATACCTTTTAAAAAAGCTGAATACATGAATAAAATATATGATGTTTTAGTATTTATAATAGAGTGGATAGATGAAAATTTGGCTAATTAATATATTTGGTTAATATGTTATATCAAGGCTTTACTTGGTAATTTTGCTTACAAGATATCAGATAGAAATTAGGAAGATAGGCAGGGTGCAGTGGCTCACGCCTATAATCCTAGCACTTTGGGAGGCTGAGGCGGGTGATCACTTGAGGCCAGGAGTTTGAGACAAGCCTGGCAACGTGATGAAGCCCTATCTCTACTAAAAATACAAAAATTAGCCAGGTGTGGTCGTGCATACCTGTAATCCCAGCTATTTGGGAGGCTGAAGCAGGAGGCGGAAGTTGCAGTGAGCCGAGATCAAGCCACTGCACTTCGGCCTGGGTGACAGAATGAGACTCCCATCTCATAACAACAACAACAAAAAAGAAATTAGGAAGACAGTAGTATAACTAATTTGTATGAATTCATTATATTTGGAAAGTACATTAATTGGCTTTTAAAATTCATTGACAATAAAAATACTTTATGTTATGTCTATACTCTAAAGTCTGAAAGAATAAGATCTTTTGGAATTGGATTTGTCAGGCGTATGTTAAGTGAACTGTTATTATGTCTCACACTTGCTTGTGGGTTATTTCTCCAACATCCCTCTTAAATCCTGACAGTAAAACTGCAGTCTAGTTGCCTTTTTTTTTTAACTTCTTAAAATGAGAATTGTAGTGTTTCTTATAAAATTGGGAATGTCAGAGGGAATTTTTTTTTTAAGAAGGCAAACAATCCTGTATAATGCCTGAATTATTTTTTGAAATGTCAAACCTTAGAATATCTATCATTTTTATATACTTCCAAAAAACCAGCCTGATGAACACTAATATTTCAGAGACTAATATTCTAGTTCAAGTTATGATTCTAGAAGTGTCACCTAAGTGGAACTATTCATTAGAATTTGGCTTATAAGAATAATTTGTGTGTATTTGATTGATTTAGGCCTCCAGGAATATAATGATATATTATTTAGAGTATTATATCTTCATTTCTTCTTTGTAAAATCCTTTTGCAAAAAGACACAAATTTTAAATGAAAATAGTTTTAATGCCATGATAACACTCTCAAGTCACTGGTGTTAAATAGGCCAATTTTATGAAGGTCAACAGCAGTATCCTGTCTTAACTCTGCTAACATAGTGTTTCTATTCTGACTTTGGGATACTGGTCTCTACTCAGAGGATCAGGGAATCTGGGAAACCATGGAAAAATTACATAAAAGAAAAATGTTACTTCCTTCTGGTCTGGATCTGGTCAACCAGGTAAAATGGGATTTGAAACATTTCAATAAAATAAAATTTGCCAAAGTCAGGTATTAAAAAGTCTTCCTCCGTGAACTGAAGTAAATCAGATTATATAATTACAGTGTATATATGGTCACTGCTGCTGGAAAATATGTAGTTAATGTTGCTAGAATTTAGAATACCTGGGTTTTTAAAAATTTTCAATTATCCTACTTAAAATAAGGGAAGACATGCTAGAGGAGCTGCCTGTAAGTTGAGGTGGCATCCCTCCAGTTGTCTAGGGCCATTGAACAAAAGGGAGAATAAGAAACGTTGAATAGTATGTTGAGGAAAGAGCACTGGAATGTTTTCAGTGAACTGTTTGATTATGTACTGTATACAGGCTCTGGATGGAGGTAGTAGAGAATATGTGAGATAAGAATACTGCTTTCTCTCTCCTATCCAGTTTAGTGCAGAGGCTCTGACATTTTCAAAATTAAGAATAAAGAACCAAATTATGTTCAATAATTAGAACAAATAATTATTTTTGAATGTTTTCAGAGAGAGAGAAAGAGAAAAAAATTACAGCTCAATAGAATGACAGAAAGGGGAAGCAAGTGCCCCAAAAAAGGAGAGGCATGCTTAGATATAAGAGTATTCTTTTCTTTAGATTGCCTTTGAAGATAATCAAGGCAGTTTTGTATGTTTTCAGCTGTAGGCACAAATGTAGTGTTCATTTCTAAGTACTTATTTCTTATAGGATGTAGGAAACTGAACTTCCGTAATTCCTAAATTAACTCAAGTATATTGGTTGATTGGTACTTTCCTTGGAGTTGGAGAGGGTCCTGTTCCTCTACACTAAAGTATCAGGTCTACAAGGTATTCCTTTGGTATACCAAATACTACAACAGTGCCTAGCATGTGTAGACTAAAGCAAGAACTTAATTAAATTTTAGAAATATAAGGTACTGTAAATACTACTTTTAAGTCTAATAGTCAGTTGTCAACTCTGTTGCCCATGTCAGAGTTGCTAACCTTTTATTTCATTTAAGAGGTATTGGGTAGGAGGGGCATCAAAGAGAATTCCTAGATTTTTGAGCCTGGAAGTCTGAGAAGATGGTAGGGCTTTAACTGAAATGGGAGCTATGGGAAGAGCTATACATTTCAGAGGGAGGAAGATAAATTTACCGTCAGAAATGCAGGGTTTGAGGTACCAAACTTGGTTTAGCAAAGTGAATATATGGGTGATTGGTTAGGCTCAGGGAACCCTTTATCTAGAGGTGATAGTTGAAGCCATGATTATAGATGAAACCTAGTGATGAATGGCCACCATTTAGAGCTCTTCCCATACGCCAGGCACTGTGCTTTATATATTGACATTTAGGTATTGATATTATCACACCCTCATATCAACCTTGTTAATTATATGCTACTGTTCATTGTACTTGAGAACTTTAGCAAGGTAAGATATTTTTCCCAGAGTCTCATAGCTGGTGTAGCAGAGCTAGGTTTTGAGTCTAGACCCATCTTACTCTAGAATGTTCAGCTAATGCCAAGTGATTTGATGTACAAGAAAATGAGGCACTGAGCAAAGTATACTGAATATATTTTCTCGGAATCATTGGTAACCTTTAAGATAACTCTTAATTAGAATTATGTAGAGATAGAGAACTGATTGCAAGGGGTAAAGGAATAAACAACTGGAAAATTTTATAAATCCGGAAGTGGTAAGTTATATATTTTTTTTCCAAAAAGTTTAGTGATAAGAGAAAAGGAAGAAATAGAACAATAAGGTAAATTTGCAGAAACAGGGTAATTTGGGAGAATTTGGGAATTTCATTATGATTTTTATCTTGTTTCAGGATTTCATTCATGCATACATGCATTCATTTATTTCCACAAATATTTATTGAGTGCCTGTTCTGTGCCAGGCATAGCAGGAAACAGTACAAGGTCTCTGTTGTCCTGGAGCTTAATTTTAATAGAGGTAGGGATGGATGTCAAGAAACACAACAAATAAGGAAATAAAAACATGAACACTGGTAAATACTGTACAAATAATTTAAAACAGGGTATAACATAAAAGACTGAGTCAGCATGAAAATTTGTATGTGATAGAAAAGGCCTGCTCAGAGAATCTGAAAGATGAGAAGTGAGCTAATAAGTAGGAAGAGAATTCTAGGCAGTGACAACAGATAATGCCAAGGGCTTTAAATGGGAAGAATCTTGACATATTGGATGGAGGCTAGTGAGCTATGGAGAAGGTGTTATGAGATCAGAGAGGTAGACAGGCATCACATCATGTGGGACTTTGTCAATTTGTATAAGGAGTATAGATTTTTTACTCTAAATGAAACAGGAAGCCAACCATTGGAGAGTTTTAAGCAGGGAGCTGTATGTGATGTGATTTGCATCTTAAAATGAGCAGCGTGATTGCTGTGTGAATGATACATTTGAGTGAGGGACAAAGCAGAAGACTAGATAATAGGTTTTTGCTCTTATTCACATAAGAGATCATAGTGCCTTGGACTGGAGTCCTGGTAGTAATAGAGATGGTGAGAATTGATTAGATATGGGATATATTTGGAGGAGGATTTAACAGGATCTGTGATTGATGGATTAGATGTGGGGTTTAAGTTAAAGAGGAATCACAGTGACCCCTGCATTTGGACAACTGGGTGAATGAATGGTGTTGTCTCTATTTAAATGGGCAGTTTGAAAGGAGACCTGAGCATAATTGCAGATTGAAGTGAGGGATCCACTCGAAGGAGTAATATTGAAGTTTTTCTATATTCAAGGAAAGTAATTAATGATATAGCAAAGTGCCAAAGGACATAGCCACATAAGAGGAAACTGAGACATACTTGTAGGAGTTAGCCTTAAAAACCAGAGTGAAGGAGACAGAAGACAGAGATTTCAATAAGGAAAGGAAGTAAGTTGAAAAGCACATATTAGATGACCTTCATCTTTAAATAAAATGCTAGACCTATTACTATATTTAGTTGCTACCTATTGTTTTGTGTTCCTCACATTAACTTTCTAATTGAACATACTTTAACCTTAATTATGTTTATTCTTGTATAACCTATTTAGTGTGTATGTATATTTATGGGTATTTATGTGTACTATATGTTTTTTTTTTAAACAGGTTGTAAGTTCTACAAATGGAGAGTTAAACACAGATGATCCCACTGCAGGACGTTCAAATGCACCCATCACAGCCCCTACTGAAGTAGAAGTGATGGATGAAACCAAGTATGTGTTTGTTTTATTTGTTTTAGTAACATTTTCTTTTTAAATTATGCATGTTTGAGATTTATAGTTACATAAAATTATTTCAGGAATTTTTTTTCAGGGAATAGGTGCATGCAAAACAAGTGGTATGTTTATTTAAATCACTGTAGTAAGTTTAAAATAGTGCTGTTTCAGTAAACATTTTAATAATACAAAATATTTAAGAACTGTGCTCAAATTCTTATTTAGAATTAACAGCATATTTTTAGCTTTTGAGTTTTAAGAGTGTTGATGCCTGAAAGTTATTGATATGTGCTATCTTTTTTCTGTAAGTGTTAAGAATACATATTAATTTTATAAAATGCATGTTTTAATATATTGCATTTGTTTTTTAAAGCATAAATTATAACAATATTGCTTGGAAAAAATTAAGCATGAAAAACAATGTGATAATTTCAATGTGGGCTGTTTCTGATTCTCTCTCTTTTTTTCCCTTGTATTTTTTTTTTGTGTGTGTATAGCTGCCAGAAAGTGTTGAACATGTGGTGAGTCTCAAGTCTAGGCAGGCAGAAATAGCTCCATTGACTGTAATTTCAAAGATTTAGCATCATTTTGTGTCTTTTGAAAACAAAACTCTCAACATAGCAATTATAATTGGTAAAAGTTATTCAAAAGTATTTGATATCATTAAGATAGCTCTGAAAAGCAAGAAATAATTGTTTGAGGAGCTCTTTTGCCTGCTGCAACTTTTTTTACTTCAAGTGACATAGATTCGGGGCCACTTTTTAATTGCATAGATGATACACCAACCCTGCTTGTGCTTGTGCGTTTGTTCCTAATAGTTTTTATTTGCTATTTAAATAGAAAGATAGATTTTTGCATTAAGCTTTCTTTTTTCTGTTTGCAATTGTTAAATACATATAGCAGATCTCATTCTCCACAGTAGTATCACTAAAACAATATTTCATTTACTAACCAATTACTGCCCTTGAACATAATATTGATAAATTTTATGATAACCTTTTAATGAGAAAGTCATTTTAAAAATCCGCATGATATTATGAAAAGTAATATTCTTATTAATAGAATAATTTTGGATTTAAGTTATTTCCTGACATTTGCCTTTAGTTGTAATACTGTGCTTAAAATGCTTCTCTCAGTTTCAGAAAAAATTTTGAGTCAGACTGGGACTGAGTAAAAGGAAGTTGCTTAGATTAGTAAATGTTGAAATATTTTACTCATATCTAAAGTCGCTGTATATAACTTTCAAAGTAATGCCCATTTGCTGGCTGCAAAATTAGGAAACTTGTGGATTTTTTTCTTAAAGAGCAGTGATTAAGAATTCATTTTTATCACTTTTGACTATAGAATTTATTGACAGTGTGACAAAGACTAGTGTATTTTAGGATATAACTAGTTGTATACTTGTGTATTTTTATGAACTGCAGAAATAAATCCCTGAAAGTATAGTCTTATTTGCATGATTTTAAATCAAAGACAAAAACAACAACTTATGTTTGTGAATTTTAGGTACAATCCTAAGACAGGAACGTAGGGTGGTGGTGTGGCAGATTCTACTGCACACATCTTTTGCAGTTAAACATAGGTTGAAGAATCCTGTTTCTGTCACATATTTATTACCTTCCAGAAAGCTTGTTTCTTTTTCTGTAAAATGAAGCTAATAATATCTACTTCATTGATTGAGAAAATTAAATGTGATAAAGTGCTGGTATTTTGTCTGACACACAGCAGGTACTCAATAGCTATTATCACCCCTATTTATTTCTTCTCTTCCAGCTGCCAATGACATTTCTCATCTCTCTTCTTGCCAGGCTTGTGCCTCTTTTATCAGTGTCCCATATTTTTACTTCCATACCCACACTTTTCACTGAAACTAGCTTTTCTTCATTTACATCCTCCTGGAGGCTTGCTTTTAATCAAATCCATTACTTTTATCTATTTATTCATTCAGCAATTATACTGCTGAGGTTTCTGAAATACCTGATACTGTCCTTGTTCTTAAGTAGATTACAAGCCAGCAGGAAGATTATAGTTGTACTAGTATATGTCAGTATATGATTAATACTATGAAAAGGGTATTGAAAAAATGATTACGGTTTTTAAAGATAAAGATTATTTCCTGACCTGGATGATCAGAGAGTTGGCGCTGAAGAATGGCATAGTAATTTATTTAGTTGGGATGAGTGTGGGTGTGTGTTTGGGTCTCTATCTGTGGGCATTGGAAGATGTGAAAGAAGGAAGTGGTGGGAAGGCTATTCCTGTAGGAAGGGTTCTCCATTGCCTGTCACATCATGTCCATATTTCTTCGCATGGCACCAAGGTCTCTAGTACCTGTCATAGTCTGGCCCCTGTCTATCTTTACAGCTCTGTTTTCCTTTCTGAACTTTATATAGCATTGATTCCTTAAATATGCCTTTGCTATGTTATCCTCTTTATGTACCTCCCACTTCTTGAAACTTACTGAATTTCTGGAAAACAAGGATTTTTTTCATCCTCAGATACCTAGTGGCTATGTTCCTTAATACATTATTACTAAATAATTAAACAATGTGGTATACCCATACAGTGGACTGCCATTTGACAATATAAAGAAATAAAATTGAAAACATTGTGCTAAATGAAAGAAGCCAAACACAAAAGGCCACATGTAATGTGATTCCATTTAAATGAAATGTTCAGAATAGGCAAATATATAGGCACCAAAAGATTAGTGATTGCTCAGGGCAAGAAGAGGAGGATGGGATTTCTTTATGGAGTGATGGAAATGTTCTGAAATTAGATAGTGGTGATAGCTGCTCAGTCTGAATACTAAAAGCCATTGAATGATATACTTTCAAAGGATAAATTTTATAACACGCGAATTATATCTTAATAAATGGTTGTTTTAAAAAAAGGATAGCAACTCATGATAGCAGTGAAGCCTTACTTCAGATGGGTTAGGTAGGTTACAGAAATTCTCAGAATTTTCCTGTCTCTTTGCTTGTTAAACATTCTGTTTAAACACACAAGATTTTTTCTTTTCTTTAATTAGGTTTATGCTAACATTTCTACAGGTTTATTATTGTATTTCTCATATCCTCTTAATCTTTGACTAAAAATTTGAGCATGATTTTTTTTTCTTTTTTAAGAGATGGGAATCTTGCTATGTTGCCAAGGCTGGCCTTGAACCCTTGGGCTCAAGTGATTCTTCTGCCTCAGCCTCCCCAGTAGGTGGGACTATAGGTGCAAACCACTGTACCCAGCAACTTTTCTAAATTGCATCTTATACTTGTCTTCTCTCTGCCACCATTTGACACATAACTAGGGACCTGCTTAGAATTCTCTTTGAGAATTTGTTTCATTATCTTCTTACCTATAATTGTCAGAGATCCCTCTCACCCCACGCCATTAAATAGAATGTATATAATGCACATTTTAGCATTTGATTTCCAAATAATGGAAAATACTCTATTCTCCCATAGGTAGAATGATGGAAAAGCTAATTACCTTTATTAATAATGAGGTTTTGTTTTTCTTGTTTACTGTAGTTGAGAATTTTAAGACAAGTGATACAAATGATAGCACCCTTATCATTTTTTTCCAGGAATTTGGGAGAACAAAATAATTTAGTTTGATTATTTACTTTTTAAGTAGTATGAAACCATCTTTTATTGTTTCTTTCTCTTCCTTTTCTTCTTGCAACATTTACTGAACAGATTATCATGTGTTTGGTAATATGATTATTAAGGTATGTCAAAGTTTGTATACCATTAGGTCAGATGGAAAGTATACCAACAACTTTTATACAGTGGTTCTCAACCTTGGTTTTCCATTATAGTCACCTAGGGAGTTTTAAAACTCCCTAGGTGACTATAATTCTTAGGCTGTACTTTCAAGATTTCTGATTTTACCAGTTGGTCTATGGTGGGACATGCTTATCATAAAAAGCTTCCAAAGTGACTCTAGGAGCAGCCAGGGTTAAGGACCATTCTAATAAAAAGTATTATGCTGTTAGCACTATAGGAGAGGGATAAATGTTACTGGAGTTCAGAAAATGGAGTATGTCCTTCTAGTTGGGAAGATCAGAGAAGTCCTCATGGGTAAGGATGCATTTACACTAGTTTTCAAAGATGAGTATGATTTGGCAAGGGAAATGGGTGGAAGTCAAGAGAGAAGAGGTTAGAGCAAGGACAGAATTGATCAAGTTCAAGAAGTAACTTATGCAGGCAGAGAATATATAAACACATTAATGGAAACCGAGATAGGCTAATAATATCCCAATCTCAAAGGGCCTTGGTAGCCAGTAAACAAATTTGGACATTATCTGTCTCAGCAGAAGAAAGGAAGCCAAGAAGCATCATGTAGTTTTTAAGCCAAGAAACAATATGATCAGGTTGGTCCTTAGGAATATTAATTTAGCAGCAGTTATGAGGCTTATGTCACTTCCTGGTGTTCATCAGATTGCAGAAAATGGTTTAAAAATATGAATTAAGTTTTCCTATGAAACTAGATGGAGAATTTGTATTTTGGGTTAGTAGTGTCTAATAAACAAACTGTTGCTTAAAAAATGTTTTAAGATGACAGTCTCAGAACATTTGTTTAGTTTCTATAATACTAAGTGTTCAAGGCTTTGATAATCTCTAGAACTATAAAGATGAGTGAAGAATAATATGTTTCCTGGAGATCAGTTCAGTGAGAAAGAGAGAGGTATAAAAATCATAATACAAAGTGACAGAACCTGTATAACTGTTTTTTGGAAGAGAGCATGTAGATTTTAAGTGGAAAGAAGAACATGTGCAAAGATAAAGAGGTAAGAAATCCCACATGGTATGTTCTGGGAAGGGCAAGGAGATTTTTGCTTTTTCTTACTTTTCCCTCCCTTCCATCCGTAGTATAGGCTACCTGGGAAGGAAGCCTCATGGAGGATGAGACTAAGAGGAGAGTGGAAATAGGTTGGGAACCAAATTCCGAAGAGCTGTGTGAACTTAATGCTTTAGTCAATGGAGAATCATTGATGAGATTTCAGATGAAAAGGACATGGCCATATTTATGATGGGGGCAATTTGGATGGAAAGAGGAGAGACTTAGACTGGGAAGTCCTTTAAAAGGTGCTTAGCAATGGTGGAGGAAAGTTGAAAAGTTCTGAACTAAGCCAGCATGAGAAGATGGGGAAATTTTGAAAGTCATTTCAGACTTAAGGGATTAATTGAAAGTCATTTCAGACTTAAGTGGATAGAGAGGAAGGAATTCTAGATGAAGTTGGGCCTGAAGGCTTTTAGTTGGATTAATTTTGTGGGTGATCTTATTCTCTGATCTAAACTTTACTTGCTTAACTAAATGGTTCCTCATTTTTTTTTTTTAATCAAGAGATCCAGAGATATGAAATTACACTTCAGGTTTAAACCTTAAGTGGAATATTCTTTGTCAAAGAATTAAAGATTAGATTCCATAAAAGATACTTCTATACAGGAGAAGCTAGGTTCTGGAATCCTATGTGGGTAGGTCTAGGAGGTACCAACAGTCTCTCAACCAAAGGATGTGCAATGAGTCATCTTAGAAGGGATAAATAAGAACGTCATGTCCAGATAATCAGGAAACATCCTTCCATTTCTGGGTGGATCTGAAAGAAGGAAGTATATGACATATATCCAGGAAAATAAGGCAAATTAGATGGAGAAAATGGCAGTGAACAAAGGAGAAATGGTGGTGTGGTGTCAATAGCAAAAGCCTTTGTGTGTTTTTGTTTGTTTTGTGTGTTTTGTTATTCTAATCTGTTATGATTGCCTGTTTGTTGCCTAACTGTACTGATTGTTTCTAAAGTTCATCGTAAGTAGGACTTAACATTTATTCCCAACGAATTTTAGAGTAGGATATAGCTTCACATTTTGAGAGGCTGAGATGGGAGGATTGCTTGAGCTTAGGAGTTTGGGACCAGTCTGTGCAACATAGTGAGATCTAGTCTCTACTAAAAATAAAATTAAAAAATTTCCAATTGAGCACCTGTAGTCCCAGCTACTCAGGAGGCTGAGGTGAGAGGACCGTTATTAAACAAGTACAAACTTCGTACCAGTTTGTTGGGCTATAACTGTGAGCAGTCCTTTATGAAGCTTAAATTAGAGTGCAAAGACAAATAACAAATAAAATAATTTTAAAGTAAGAGTAAGTTATTACAGGAAAATAAAACAGTATTGTGACTGAGTGGCTACATGGTAGTAGCACTATTTCAGATTGAGTGCTGGGGACAGGAAGCAATTGAGATGAGACCTGATTTCTTAATCACTAAGACTATAAATTAGTTATTTTGGTAATTGTTTTTATGTTAAGAAATAAGCCATAAGGTTAAAACATCAATTTATTTTTTCTGTAAGTATGTTAGATTTTGAGAGCATCTCTCTTGTCTGTGTTACTTGGATGCATTTGTATCACATAAAGCAACGCTGTCCTCTGGTGGTAGTGACTTTAATAGCATGCCAGCTTTACTTTTGCAAATCTGTTTTAAGGATGTGTTTATTTAGTGGGATTTAATTCTGAAAAATTGATGTCCTTTTTAGATTGTGTTTGAATTTAAGGGCCATTAGAATTTATTTGAAAATCTTATTTAGTCTCAAATAAATGCTTGGCATAGTTCAGTAAAATGCTGTTGAAGGAAAGATTACTTAAGTGTAAAGAACTCAACTCTCAGAACTCTCAAATACTGAAAATACAAACTAAGCAAAGTAAATTGCTAATACAAGTGTAGAAAATCTGAGACTCAGTCTTGTTCATTGAAATGTGTATTACATTAAATCACTCATTTCAAAGGGCTAATGTAACTTTAGAAAATTTTCGAAAGAATATATTTTGAAATTTGAAAAGACAGTATCTAACAATAGTGAGCATTATTAAAGCAACTTTATATCAAACAGTTAATAATTTCCATTGAAATATGGCCATATTCTTAGTATTTGGTCTGTCGCTTCTAAATACCTATTTTTATGTTTTGCTTTCTGCCATATGGATATTTTTCTGCTCTTTTCTACATCTTAAAGGTTTATTTGGAGTAAAGGATTTTATCATTTAGAAAGTGATTGAGATTTGAGAAATATTAGGTAGCTGACAGTTAAAAATAAATTTGACTTATGTTTTAAAGTCCAGAGCAAAGCTGTTAAAATCTGTGGTCTTGTTTCACTGCAGCAGCTCTTCTCTAGGCTCTTGACTGGGTAACTCATTTCAGTTCTTTCTGCTAGTCACCTCCATAGGGGTAAAGTTTACAAACATCCATCATTACATATATTTCTAGTTGAATTTTTATCAGCTGATCCACAGTTTTAAATTATTTACATTCCATGGTCTAGTCAGTGTATACTTTTTGGTTCACTTAAAAAATGCAGTTGTGTAATTTGGTTTTTAGTACCCTCATAGCAGTTTCATAATTATGGCAGAAATCAGTAATAAATGATACAAAATTATTTTTGACTAAAGATAATGTGGGTAGAGAGATTATGTAATTTAACTGGACAGTGTAGATTCTGTTTACATTTATTTCACAGAAGTATATAAAACATTATAAAACATCTAGTAGTTATTTCATTTTCTGTAATCTTTTGCTGGGTGGGACACTTGAAGCTATTCTTTTTTATTTTGAGATGGAGTCTTGCTCTGTCACACAGAATGGAGTGAAATGGCTTGATCTCAGTTCACTGCAACCTCCGTCTCCAGGTTAAAGTGATTCTCCTGCTTCAGCCTCCTGAGTAGCTGGGATTATAGGTGCCTACCACCAGCCCAGCTAATTTTTAGTAAAGACAGTGTTTCACCGTGTTGATCAGGCTAGTCTCAAACTCCTGACCTCGTGATCCAGCCACCTCAGCCTCCCAAAGTGCTGGGATTATAGGCATGAGCCACTGTGCCTGGCCAAAGCTATTCTTTAATGAATACAGATTGCTAAGAATTATAGAAACATCGTTATAAGGTCATATTACACACAGTCTTTGAATTGACAGCTCTTGGTAATAGAATCACCATGTATATAAGTATACTTTGCTTTTATTACAAAATATGATTTACAGACATACCCACACACCCACACAGGAGTTAAATGGAAAATCCAGGGATACTCAACCCTGCTTGCCTGTGCCAAAAGTAAACTCAACCTTAGGAAGGGGTGGACTGTTTAAAAGTTAAAAGAAAAGGTGTCTGACTGTATGTGTCTGTCATGTTGTATATTCTGCTATACTGACTCATATCTGGAGGGAAAATGCCATAGCTTCATACCTTTATTTGAAGGATTGTGAGACTTTAAAGATATGTGTGCATTTAATTTTTTTCCTTTTTCTTTTTTTTTTTTTTTTGATGGGAGCAGATCAGTGATTCTCAGTTTCCAGTTTATACTAGCATTGTCTTGCTCTGTCACACAGACTGGGGTGCAGTGGCAAAATCATAGATCAAACATTCCTCCTGCCTCAGCCTCTCAAGGAGCTGGGACAACAGGCGGGTGCCACCAGGCCCGGTGTGTGTGTGTGTGTGTGTGTGTGTGTATTTAGAGATATTTATGTATATGTATATATATATATATATTTAGAGAGCGAAAGAGTTAGAGATAGGGTTTTGCTGTATTGCCCAAGCTGGTCTTGAATTCTTCAACTTCTGAGGTCAGGCAGTCCTTCTGCTTTGGCCTCCCAATGTGCTGGAATTACAGGTGTGAGCCAGTGTGTCCAGCCAAGATTCATTTTTCACCTAGGAATAAAAGTCAGGATTACAGTGTTTTGTAGTTTTGAATTGCAAAACAGAATCACCTCAATTGTGCTACTTTAAATATTAAGCATAATTTTACCTTAACTAAACTTTCAATAAGCTTGACTTTCTTTAATCCTAAGGAATTAAAAATTGCCCATCTTGACTTTCTATATACTGTATTTTCTGTCTTCCACTTTATAAATATGATGGAAAGTGTCATTGACTATATTGGAGTGTCTTTTTATTTTTGAAGTCTAAACTGATTCTTGGTGGGAATAAACTCCCCAATGTTAGGATCATTTTTACCTTTCTAATAATGGCTTCAACAATCATATATAAATATCAGGGAGAAAGGGAAATAATGTACAGGACGAACTTTTCAGTTGGTATTACTACAAAACCTTTTGAATTTAATGGCTCCTTTTTATGTTGCATAGAATGTCTTGCTATTCTTAAAAGGCATGTGTATGAAACATAATAGTAATAATTCTGCCACATTTTCACTAATACATATGCTTCATTGGTGTAATCACTGTTTATCTTGCACTAGCCTGTTGCTTTTTATGACCATTTAAGTTAGTGTAATAAAGTCAACTCTGTGACATTTTAGTGCTTTTAAAATAAAAAGAGTGTTTCCCTCATCTGCAGGTGCTGCTGTTTTTTCAAACGAAGGAAAAGGAAAACTATACAGCGCCACAAATGACTCTGGACACAGACAGATCCTGGGGAGTTACTTACACGTTCATCTGCTGTCTTGTGATTAAAATCATCTCTGTAGTGACCACATATATTTTCAAGGACTCACTCTTAGAAACAAAAATGTCATACTTTCATACTTCATTTTGTGGTTGTCTTACATTCATTTTTTTTCTAATTTAACTTTTATGGAAGCTTTAAAGTTTTGTCAAAACATGAGTGCTTTGCCCATCAAATGAATGGAATGGACAATGAGGTGGTATTGAGGAATACAGTTCCATAGAACATTTTTCAGAAGTTCTTCTGTTATAGAAAGCAGTACAGTATCTTAAATGTCAACCAGTTTATACCGAATCTGGTTTTTTACAACTTCTGTAAGAGCATAATCAAAAAGGAATATTTTTTTTCTCAGCGGATAATACAACAGAGAAAAGAAAGTTGCCCAAATATTTAAAAGAAATTATTCCTTGAGAAGTTCATATTTTGTGACATCTGCATTGATTTCAGTATTACTGATGGTACTGTTATTCATAAGTCATATTAACATTCTCTCTGTGAAATCATGGTACAGTCACTGCCCAGAGGTACTGAGGAAAAAGCAATATGGGTTCAGCAGATGGTAGTGGTAAAATGAATCTTAAGTAGTGCAGTAAATATGTGCTCTGCTTTTGTTGCACCACTATGTGAAGTACTGTGTTGCAGAAGTGGCAAAAGCGCTTATTTTTTAAAATGCAAAATATTTGTATAATGTAACTTTATGCTTCCAAATAATAATGTATGTTAGACAGCAAGAAATGAATACTTTAAGAAGTGATATATGTTGGAGTTATAAAGAAATACACTAAGGAGAAGTAGTAAATGTGAACCTTTTTGCAAGGTATATGGTGGAAGCCTAAAGAAATCTCACTGAAACCTACTGCTGAATGATTACATTCTCCCGTAAGCAGAAAACTTTGGATGTGCCATGCATTGGTGTCTGTGTAATTATTTTGCTCTTTGATAAAAAAACAAAAGGACCCCCAGCAATAAAAAGTGGGTCACTCTATGCCCTCTGTGCACATTAGTCTCTTATATTCAACTTTGCTGATTCTCTGGAATTTTCCTACTCTTTAGCTTAATTTTGATGGTTGAAAAATATTTTGGAAAGGATGGGTCAGGTGCTTTGCCTCCATAGTCTTTTGAAGTGCCTGCATATAAACAAACAAAAAAATTCTGTTAAAAAGGAAGCCCACTTCACTTTTCAAGTCTGCTTTGTTTTAAGCCATAAAGACACACATGTACTTTTGTCACATTTTACTAGCCAGAATTTTCAAGAAGGATTAAAACAAAAATACTGGCTAGAAAGATAATTATTTTGAACAAATCTCATGTTCATCTTTCATTTATAAAATTGTTACTTATTCCTTTCATGCAGTCTCTTCGTTGTCTTTAAGTGTATGCCTCCAGGCATGCTTATTTATTTTTATTGTCTCAAGGTAACATTTAAGATGTATATTAAAGTAAATATATCTACTTTTTTTATTTCATTATTGCATTTACAGGGATTTAATCGTACTTTGTAATTTATTTTTCTTATTAGCCAAAAGTTTAATGCATTGCTTTTGGTGAATTAGGCACCCACATGAACATCCCAAATCAGGACATTGTTTATCATTGTTGCTATGAATCCTATGAATGATCTTTTTTGATTTTAAAGACATACACTTAACCTAGAAAACATTTGCTGTATAATTTGGTCAACAGTTTCCATTCTGCCTATCTGTATACTGTCATGATGTCTTAAACTGCAGGAGTTACATACTGAGTTTTTATTTTATTTGCTTTGAGCAAGGAAGATGGATGTTTTGGCCATTATAATGTGAAACCACTTCTTTCTTTACAGTATTTGACCAAATTTGTGTGTCTGATATTTGTAAATACATGCGATATCTGTATTTCTTATCATAAGCCTATTTAGTTTTATTCTCAGTAGGGTTTTTTGGATTGTACAGTGTTTATATGATCTGAACTCCTTATACATAAGAAGGTGTGTATATTAATCCAATTATGGACTTAAAATATTTTAAAACTATAAATACCCTTATTTGCTGCAAAGACCAGTGTGTAGACATTTGCTTTTTAGCAATATTTTTAAGTGCTCCATTTTAATGCCAAGGAATAAGTCTTTTGGCAACACAAACTGGTCAATAATAGGTAATGCAGGTATGTTCAGGTTAAGCCAACAATGTTTGCATTTTTATGCTTATTTTCTGTCAACACTAATGAAGTCAACATTGCCTGAATGTCTGAATAATGAAACACATCCCTGTTTAAAAGTATGTAACTGAAAAAGAAATAAAAAAAATAAACGTAGTTTTTTTTAAACTTGCTCTTTCCCATTTCCTGTAATGATGGGTAAGATAATACCACTCCTTAATTATAGATAGGAATTTAAAAAATTTGGTTTATTTAGTCTGTTATATGTGAGAAGCAGAGTTAAAGGAATATGCTTTTGTTATTTTGGTTATGTTTTGTTTTGCTTTCTTGAAATCCAGTGGTAAAGAGCACACGCTAGGTAAAGGATAAAAGCTTTCTTTAATATTAAAAAAAAATTATACTCCTCTGTTTACTAGAGCAGTAATTAAAGATGTCTTCCGATAAATTAAGGAAAATAGAATCATTTTTCCTTTTTGAAAATGGAATCATACTATTATATTCACAGAAATTAACCAATATTAATCTAGTTTTAAGTGAATGACTTTAAAATTAGTGCAGATGGAGAGCACGTATTTGTAACAGTATCTCATCGTTTATCATTGTTCTAGGTACTTTAAGGGATTTTACAAAATGGCATTAATGGTGCACTACTTACTGAGGGATGCTACAGGTAAGATAAGACAAAGAAGCCAACACTCGGCCTATGAAAAGTGTGTCCATTAAGCAGCAGAGACCTTCAGAATTAGGAGAACAATCTGGAGATGATACAAAACTGTTAAAGGCTTTATTTAGAAAAATTCGACTAAAGATTAAGATTCCAATCTGAATGAATGTATAGTTGCATTAGTCAGAACTCTTTGAAGTTCTGTTCTGCAAGTGACAGAAATTTAACCTGGCTTGAGCAATAAGAGTGTACATTATCTCATTTAACTGAAAAGTCTGGTAGTGGTAGGACTGCCTTCAGACATGCTTAATCCTGTAGTTAAGACGGGAATCTTTTTCCATATCTTTTTTTTTTTTTTTTTTTTGGTTTTGCTTTCTACCCTGCTGTTGTCACTGTCAGGTAGACTTTCCATGTGTCATGGTAAAATGGCCATCCAGCATCTTGAGACTTCTACTCTTACCATGTTAGTATCCTCAGCAAAAACAAAGGGCCATTTTTCTCAATAGTTCCAACAGCAGCCTAAGACTGACATTCCCTTATTGGTTGATGTGCCCACCCCTCAGCCAATTACTATGGACAAGGGAGTGTTGTTCTTCCAGTGGCTGAGCCTGAGTCATAGTTTGATTAGGAGACACATTGGTGATGGAATTGGTTGAGAAGAGTTAAAAACATTTTTTTCTACTAGAGTGCAAATAGAATTATAAAGATTTGCTGTTGTTCAGGATAACTAGTTTCTTCTCTGCCCAGCTCTAATATAGACCCACATAAATTATTTTCTTAGGAAATTTACTTGTTCATAAGATGACATGGATCATAACCAAAGAAAGGACTGTATATAGAAGAATGATCAGGTAGTATTATTGGCATATAAAAATGGTTTTGTTAGACCAATTGTTTTTGGGATATTTATCATACTTTGATTTCACTTAAACTGACAAACACTCTGGCACTTCTCCAGACTAAGGGTTGGAAACTTTTTGGTAAAATATAGGCTTTGTGAGCCAAGAGGCAAAATTGAGGCTTTTATATATTTATGTAATGAGAAAGAAAACTTTTCACATATATTTTATTGATAAAATTCAAAATATATTAATACTTGAATTTTTTTTAGTAATATAGGGCTACTAATGACAAGAATAGAGTGATTTTGAGGGAATAGTATCTCACTAAATTGGGTTCAAAATTATAAATATTCATTTGGTAATGCTGGCCTATAATGTCATTTTTTTGTATTTAATCTTTGAAAACATCTTTTCACTCAGATTATATACATCCAAGTTCTGTTATCAGTTGTGATTGTGTGATTTTAATTTATCATATTAATCATTTTTGGAAGGTATTTATAGAATTCTGTTGGATTCTGCTGCTGCTATTTGCCTTTTAGCTGTCGTTACATTGCAGATTAATCACTTCCTATTGAAGGTTAGGTGGATGCTCAATTGTATATTAAAATGAATATTGAAATAGAAAAATGTCTTTTGCACTCACATCAAGGTCCAATAATGCAGCTTGAACTATAGTGGAACTTGGAAAATGTGTTCACTATAAGTTTGTGTGGGAATGGAGATCTTGCTTCTTACCTTGATAGCATGAGAAACATATAAAGCCGCATTGATATTACTTGTGATTTAAACAACATGAATTGCCATCAAAATGACCTTGTCATAGTATATTTCACATATAAGTGCTGTTTTGCCTTGTAATTGTAGGTTGAATTTGATAAAAAGCATTATCAAGTCCATAGCAAAAGCTAATTTCCAAAGCTATTTAGTGTTTGAATATAGTTTGAGGGTGATTCTCCTCATTTATAACAATTTCAGTCTTGGTTCTGAGCTCAAAAAATTGCATTGACTTTACTAGTTCAATGACATGATATAATTCAAATATTTCCCACAAATACCTGCTGATGAATAATGCAGCATATAACCATTGACTAATTTATTCAATCATGCAGGGTTTTTTTTTTCCTGCCACTTCACGCATATTTTTACCACCATGAATTGCAACACATCTTAGCAGATTCTACTTCAGTTTATACTGAATTGGTGTTTTCTTGACTTCTTTGAAAATATTATTTCCTGTAGTTATTGTATGCAGACTATTCATAAAGGCTAGTTCTTGAGTCACTTCGTATTCACCATTGACTTCTCAAGTATACAACAGGGCCATATTAGTAACATTTTTGACTCACCAAAAGCCAAGCAAAGCTACTTAAAATAATTTGCCTTGTTTTTTAATTGACTATTGGTGTTGCCATCATGTCCTCATGTCTCCAAGCAAGTATTCTTACTGAAAAGGTAGTAGTAATAAAGAAGTTTTTCTCTGGGCCCACTTTCTCATTGCTACAATCAAACACAATTAAATTGACTCTAACTCACTATCAGTATATAGTTGTCTTTGCTTGGCTAACAAATGAGCCACCCAGAAAGTTACTTTGGTTACACCCTTATTATAGTTTTTTAAGTTAGTAGAGTATGCTGTGATGAGATATTATGTTTTAAGTTTTCTAATTGTTCTATCTGTTGATTTCCTGTGGGTTGGGAATATTGTGATGAGTGCTTAGTTTGGAAATGTATTATTTTAGCACAGTGAAAGTGTCATTGCATAATAAACACAATGCTTTGCCATATAGTTGTACAACAATTCACACTCCACTGTGCCTTAAAAGTACATCACTCAAAGTCCACTTTTTAAAAACTTTTTTTGACATGATGTATATGAATTAGTAATAAAAAAATAAAATGTCTGTATGACAATATATATGACACTTGAAATGCTGTTGAGTTTTATAGCCATCACAGATTTGTAGCATGTTGAACAGCAGGCAAAACAATGAAAGAACTACATATGGTTTCTGTCATAAATATTCAACTCTGCTTTTGTAGCATGAAAGCAGCCATAGTCAATATGTAAATGAATTAATATGGCTGTGTTCCAATAAAATTTTATTTATGGACACTAAAATTTGAATTTCATTTAATTTTTATGTGTCGTAAAATTCCCTCTCAATTTTTTTTCAGCCATTTAGGAATGTTAAGTACCATTCTTAGTTTCTGGGCTGAGCAAAAATAGGAGATGGGCTGGATTCGGCCTTCAGACCATAGTTTGCCAACATTTGTTCTGTGCCACACTGGAAGGATTTGAATGTTTGAAGTAAATTAGTTTTACCTAATTGAATTAAACTGCTTATCAAAAGATAACCTTTCCTCCTTTTATAAAAGAAAATGTCATTTTGAAATAGAACCAAGAATTACAATATTAAAGAAAATGGAAGCACAGCACGTATAGGAGTTAGAAATCAAGTGAGGTCTAAGTCTCCCATATGAACTTAGATGTAGCAGTGTCCAGCCTTAGAAAGAGCATGAATGTCAGGCTTAGACAAATTTAATCTCAGTCTAAACTTCTTGTGAGAACTGTGGAAAGTTATCTCACTTACCCTGTTTCTTCACCTTAAACTGGAGATAATGCCTACTTTGAAGTGTGATTTCGAGGATTAATGGATGATCTTTATAATAGCTCTTATACATTAACCATTACATTTATAAAATGTACAATTTAAAACTGACTCCTTGATTTCTCATGTACACTTCTGCTCTTTAAGGCAAGAATAAGGCCTGGTATTTATTAAACTTCATCTTCCTATATTGACACCATTATTCAAATCTGTTTCAAAATATTGGGGCCTAACTGTCATCTTGTAGAGCTGCCATTCTGCTTCACTTAATGACATCAACAAATTCAAAATCTTTAATTTTATACTCTCATTGATAAAAATGACAACAGGAGAGGGCCAGGGCAAAGTCCTATTTGAAGAAGCTGTAATCTATTTTGAAGTCAATATCAATCCATTGAACCAGTAACATGTCTAAATGTTCTCTGTAATGTAAGGTAATCCTTCAGCACCACTTAATTACTATTAGCTATTTATCAGAAGCTTTGCTGAAATCCAGGTAAACCATTTGGTCTATTTCCATGCCCTATCATTCTCATTATGCCGTCAAAAAAGGAATTTGTTTTAGTTTGATATGAGTATTGGATTTTATTTCCTTCTTGCCATTTTTTCCCCCATTTACTTTTCAGGCTAAAGATTATTCTTGATTTTAGAAAGCTGGGCCATGCATTCTCTGTCTCATCCCTCAGCCTTTCCTTTACATAAGGCTCCACATACAGATTATAAGCCTCTTTTTTGTTGGCTTTAGCATGAAAAAGAATCTCCAGCTAATACGAAACCTTAAAGATATTATCATTTTTTTTACATTTATTTCCTATACATACTGTATTTTAATTCTTGTGTGTATCCTTTTAAAACCTGAGCTTGTTAGAAAGGAAGCTGTTTTCTCAAACTTTTTCTTTTTAGGATCACTTTTCATTGCAGAAAAGAAATCAGTCTTGAATTCTTTTCACAAGGTATCATAGACGTTAAGATAAGATGCTCACATTCTCTCAAGGTGCCTGACCCTTCTGCTTTATCAACGAATTCCTCTTGCTGGTCTTTTTTTTTGTC